AACAGAAACATTCATCTATAAAATAATAATTGAACAGAAACATTCATGTATAAAATAATAATTGAACATTATTTATCTGAGGAGCAGCTTTGAGTTTAACTCCATCACTGAACTCTCATCTTGAACAAGCATGAAGGCGACAGTGGAAAGAAAAACTCCCTCATGAGGAAGAAACCTTTAGCAGAACCAGGATCAGGACAAGAGGACCATCTGCTTCCACCGGCTGGGTTTGGTAGGAATAGATACACAATGGCAGGTCAAGAATCACATGTTAAGAAATAGTATCAAATGAAAACTGTTCAGTTTTAACAATTCATTTAATGAAATGAGGTCAATTTGTCCTCTAGTAGTCTAAGTATATAGCAGCAGAACAAGCTGACCCTAACTATAGGATTTATCAAAAAGGAAAGTCTTAATCCCAGTCTTAAACTGGACAATGTGTCAGCCTCATGGACAGAAACTGGAAGTTGGTTCCACTAGAGAGGAGCCTGAGAACTGAAAGATCTTCCTCCCATTCTGCTTTTGTAAACTCTAGGAACCACAAGTAAACCTGCAGTCTGAGAGAGAAGTGCTCTGTTAGTAAAATATGGAACAACAAGATCTGTAAAATAAGATGGAGCTAGGCTGTTGAGAGCTTTGTAGGTTAGAAGTAAGATTTTGAATTCTGTTCTGGATTTGACAGGGAGCCAATGGAGAGAAGCTGAAACTGGAGAGATCTGATCTCTCCCAGTAACTCCAGTTAAGACTCTGGCAGCAGCATTTTGGATCAACTGAAGACGTTTTAAAGAAGTATTTGGACACCCAGATAATAAACCATTGCAATAGTCCAGTCTAGATGTGACAAATGCATGGACCAGTTTTTCTGCATCATCTTTAGATGTTTCTAATGTTAGTGATATTACGCAGGTGGAAGAAGGAGGTTCTAGTAACGGTTTTAATGTGGGGGATAAAAGGCATGCCCTGATCAAAAATAACACCAAGATTTTTAACATTACAACTGGAGGACAGATTAATGTCCTAAGATGCTCAGGTCCCAAAACTAAAACCTCAGTCTTGTCTGTGTTCAAAAGCAGAAAATTTAGGGTCATCCAGGTTTTTATGTCTTTAAAACATGTTGGTAGTCTAAGTAGCTGATTTGATTCATTGGGTTTCATGGACATATATCATTGTGTGTCATCGGCATAACAATGAACATTTATCCCATTCTGTTTAATAACTTTACCTAATGGAAGCATGTACAAGGTAAAGAGTATTGGTCCAAGCACTGAACCTTGAGGAACTCCATGACTAACTTTGGTGTATGATGAAGATTCATTATTTACATTTACAAATTGGAAGCAGAAGAGATATCAGAAAGATATGATTTAAACCATTTTAGAACAGTTCCTGTAATTCCAACATCATATTCAAGCCTCTGTAGTAAAATATTGTGATCAACTGTATCAAATGCAGCACTAAGGTCTAACAGGACCAGTAGAGACACAAGTCCATTGTCTGAGGCCATGAGAATATCATCAGTGACTTTTACTAGTGCTGTTTCTATGCTATGATGAGCTCTAAACCCTGACTGAAACTCTTCAAACAGATTATTTCTTTGTAGATGTTCACGTAACTGACCTGCAACTAGTTTCTCTATAATGTTTTTAGATGGAGCTGCTGCCTCTCAGCGAGCAGGTCCCTGGTTCAAACCCCGGTCCAGGGGCCTTTCTGGGTGGAGTTTGCATGTTCTCTCCGTGCATGCGTGGGTTTTCTCCGGGTACTCCGGTTTCCTCCCACAGACCAAAAACATGCATGTTAGGCTGATTGGTAACTCTAAATTGTCCCTAGGTGTGAGTGAGAGAGTGAATGGTTGTTCGTCTCGTTTGTCTCTATGTGTCCCTGTGATGGACTGGAGACCCGTCCAGGGTGTACCCCGCCCCTCGCACAGTGATTGCTGGACATGGGCACCAGCGACCCCCGTGACCCAAAATGGAATAAACGGGTAAAGAAAATGGATGGATGGATGGATGTTTTTAGATGAAAGTTAGATTAGCTATAGGTCTATAATTGGCTAGGATTCCTGAGTCAAGGTTATGTTTCTTAAGTAAAGGTTTAATTACAGAAATCTTAAAGCTCTGTGGTACGTAACCGTTTATTAGAGACAAATTAAGCATATCCAAGACGTGGTTATTAATTAAGGGAAATACCTCTTTAAACAGTCTGGTTGGGATGGGATCTAGCAGGCATGTGGATGGTTTAGATGAGGTTATTATTTTTGACAATTCAGAGCTCAACAGGACAAAAACTGTCCAAACATAAATCAGGCTCTAGTGACATTTTTAAAGTTGTCTCATCTGACACAGAACCAGAGACGATATGTTGGTTTGAATTTTTTCCTTAACTGAAACAATTTTATTTCTAAAGAATCTCATGAAGTCGTCACTGCTTGTAGTTGTAGGGACACATGGTTCAACAGAGACAATCTATTTATAAGACTAAGCTGAACACAGCACCTCATACTGAAGTCTTTCGGATGAAAGACGAAACGTTTCTTCATTTTTTTGTTCTTGTTTGTTTGTTTTGTTTCTTGAACGTCCAGAGGACCAGACTTAACTTTTTGAGACAACAGAGACAGGATTTTTCATTAGACTAGCTTTGGTACTGAAAAGGAACCTGTGGTTATTTTTATTCTCATCAATTAAAGATAATCTAACAAATTATCTCTGAGAATCTAACAACTAACGATCAATTGTTAGACTAATGGCCCCTCCTTTACCATGTGAACAGCTAGTTCTGAACAAGAACTGCTGTCAGCAGCAAACTGGTTGATCCACTATGAGAAGGTGCTGCCTCCTCCCTGTACAGAGCCTTGTAAATCTGTGACGCCCCAGACACTGATGTATATGTACAGGTACATGTATGTATGCACATATATACATATATATATATATACATA